TCCTCTGTGGCCTGCAAGGATTTTTAATTTATCAGCGTGTCCCTTTCTCCTCTACAAGTTGTGCAGGTCTGTTGTAGAAGCATCTCCTGCTTGCACTGGCTGAACCTCGCTCTTGCATAGGACACCATGCCTTTTCTTCCTTCTCGTTACTGGAACTACCAAGAAGTAACTAAAGAGAGACTATATGGACAGATCAGAGCAAGCAAGTTTCCTTAGAAGTGTTCATAGGAGTCTCCTGAACTCCCTCTCTCCCATCAGTGTTAACCCTGACTTCTGTTCTGGGCTCAGAAGGGAATGTGCTTATTGAACTTGGCTCACTAGTATCAAATTATTCAGTGAAGGAAAAACTTAATGTGAGCAAACAAACAAGGGATTTGCTTTGCTGAAATGAACATGAGTTAGGTGAGGTACTGATGGATTTTCTGTGAAAGTCAACTTGAATGGCTGTTTCTCAGATCCTGCTGGAAAGCATCAAAGCACAGACTAAAAGGATGAGGTAGAATGGAATCAATTTTTTTTTTTGTCACTGGTTTTGTTAAGAATCCACCTGTCGCTGCAGGGGACAAAACATGGAACATGAGAAAGAGAAAATTCTTCATGTAGCTAATAAGCAAAACTTTTTCTCTGTTGCATACTTCTCATCTTGGGTTTGCTATGGAGAAGATAGATGGAAAAGTCAGGTGCCATATATTGACCACATACATCCAGATACAGGCCCCCAAACACAGGTATCCTAAGATCCATTTCCAATCCTTCCCTCTAGGAAAATTAATGCTTTCACTTCCACAATTCAAAGGAAGCAAATTCATCAGCATCATCAGGAATATTGCTGAAGTCTGGATAAATGAACAGGAATAAAATATATGAGTCCTGAATGACATCCTCCCCTCTCCCAGTGCTCTCTTCCCCCGGGAGTGGAGGGACAAAGATTCCTGGCTAGAATGAGCTGGGAATTCTGAGTGTTGTAGTTGTGGTGGCAAGAATTCACCTTAAGGAACAAGCCAAAATGATTGGAAAGGTCCAAATCTGTTTCTTTATGAAGCCAGCAATGTTACAGTGATCACTGGGGGCCCAGCCAGCAAGAGCTAAGAGTGCAGAAACTGGTCAACACAGATCTTACACAGGTTGACAGAAAATTGAAGAGGAGTACACATATTGCTAAAGAATTAGTGATAAGAAATGCAGTTGCCCAAGGAATGTTAGGCAGCCCTCTGTCTTGAACAAAAACATTCAGTATTGCTGGTGTGCTTAGTTTATCGAAGGCATAGATGCAATGGTAATTGCCATTTGTTGTTACTTTGACCCTCATCCCACCTCAAACAGAGGAAGCTGTAAACACATTTATTATCTGCATCCTTGAAGACGTTACAGTTGTGAAGACATGCAGTCTCTAAATCAAAGTCACTCATAATTCAAGAAGGACATGTGCCTAAGGGAGTCAGTTTGGAATGTATAGAAGGCGATAGCAGCAATGAAATCAATTGTGGTTGAGCTTGTCTCAGAGACATAGAAATATAAGGTCACTTACATGGACTAAATATTGAGTTACAAGGGGCTCAATGTTTTGCCTCCGGTCCATTTACATCTATGGCACTGGAGAAAATTGTGGCAAATATCTTGGACTACATGATGAACAAATTATTCAATTCTAGATGAAGACAACTCACTGGAAACACAAATAATGAAGCCAAATGTAAATATCTGGCATTTAAATAACACAAAGATAAGAGTCACCGAAGAAGACGCTAATGCCTTGAAAATCGAATTTAAAAAAGAGAGTAACAGTAGACAAGGTGGCTGGATGCTATCTCTGATGGCACACATATGTGCTTAAAGAACTGAAAGAAGTAGTTACTGAAAGACAGTCTATGTGAAATGACATTTATTAGGTCATAAAGAGTTGGAAGTGACTGACCAACAATCTTTGAAATAGAGGTTACAACAATTATGTACTTCTGCAGGTGATCCAGAACTATAAGCTCCCAGGAGCTGCATGATTAATGGTGAGGAATTTTAATTCAGTTAACATCTAAAGACTCACAGGATCTATCGTTCTTTCCCTTCTTACAAAACGAATAACATATGATGCAACAATATATGGAAACAACAGACAATTTTTTACTACTGTCTTGGGGCTGAATTATAGAGAAGTGTTTTCAGACAGACAGTTCCTACTGCTATCAGTAAAAAAGCACTGAAGAATTTTTGCTTTTCTCCCTTAGACAATTTTTTTCTGGTAAAAAAAAAGGAAGTAGTGGAGAAACATAGGAAGGTAACAAGGAAGATGATGACATTTAAACTTCAAAGGTAGGGTGATTCCTCAATAAAGACCTCATCTGGAAGTATTCCAGTTGACTCTTGGATGAGAAGAAAACAAAATATCCAGCACAGTGATTGGCCCTACTCCAAAGAGGGGCTGGTTGGAAGTCATGTAAAATCCCATATAAAGGGGCATGACATAATTAACATCTGTGTCTCTCTGCTCTGAGAGCTTAAAGGAAAGTAGACTGTATATACAATTCTGACAGAGCATTTGTAAGCCAATCACCCTATCTCTGATGCTAGCTGGTGTTGCTGTAGTTGTGGTTCAGCAACATCTGAAGGGCTACAGATTCCCTACTCTTTGGTTAAACCTCCCCAACCCCACAGATACAGACTGTTGTATTACTATGACTCAACGAACACATGCTGTACTCACTGCCTGATATGGTTTACGAGTGTCTGGCTTCAAAATAGGGAAGTGTGAGCCAATTTATGCCTCTGTTGCCAAGATAACTGAATGGAAATGGTCACCAACAGAACATCTCAAAGGAGATGTTACCTTGCTTTTAAGCTAATGCGCATAAGCCCAATTAGCCACCATCACCTGACCATACACAAAGCTAAGCAGGTTCAGGCTTAGATAGAAGATCAAGAGATTTTAGAGTGGTGGCTTACACCGGAAGGCAATGACAAATTGTTTCCATAATCACCAGGAATGGAATTTGGCTCAATTACATTTTTAAAAAATGCATAAGAATCTGCACTGTATCAATGTATATAGTGGAACATATTGCATGATCCAGTAAATATGCAAACTCATCACTTCACATCTATAGAACATGTCCAAGAAACGCATTCTGCATTGTAAAGGACAATACTCAAGTTGACTCTGGGAAGGCTTTTGTGCATGATTTTGCTCAAAAAATGCCTAATTTTAGGAGTCTGAAGTGCTTTTTAAAGCACATGGTCAAGATCCCACCCCTCCAAGACCCCTTTCATCACATAGACATAGACCCCTTTCATCACACACACACAATGTGCTTTACATGGGGCTGCCTTTGAAGACTGCCCAGAAATTATGATTAATCCAGAATGCAGTGGTCTCTACCCTAACTAATTCCTGACCTTGGGAGTTTCTCACACCTATAATATGGCCCCTGAACTTGCTACCTGTTCAATTCCAAGTACAATTTAAAATGCTGGTGTTAACCTATGAAGTCCTTTCTGGCTTGGCCCCTGGATAACCAATGAACCTCTTCTTCTGACTGGATTTGGCCTGACCTGGTGATTCAAGCAGAAGGGAGCTCTTTGTTTCTGGGATGTCAGGAGAACTGAAGCTAGAAGGTCTTAATTCTTCATAGCAGTGCGTGATGGGCTGTGAGAATAATCTTGGGAGACAGGAGGAAGTGCCACAGCCTAGACAACGGTCTGATAAGAGACATCTCAGGCCTCATGAGGAATGGGGACAGGGAAAGCATCTCAGAAGAGACCCTCCCTAGTTCTCTGGAAAGTAAAGGCAGGGGAGGGGGGAAGTGCATTCAGACTTGCAAGGTTCTGTTACTATAACTTTACAGTAAACATAGTGTTAGTACTCATGGTTTTGGTTTCCTGTTTGGACTACCCCAAAGGGCTAACACAGTGGCAACACTGTGGAATGGGATCCCCATTGCAATCTGACTGCCTAGCTTTTAAGAAGTTATTAAAAATGAAGCTTTTTCAAGAAGCCTTTCAGTAACATCATCTGCAACTCTTGTTGTACTTATCTTTCTCTCCTATTTCAGTTTTGTATTTGTGATCTGGATTGTATGTTGTTTTAATTCTATTGTTGTTTTTATTGTGGCATTATAACCAGTCAGTATCATAGACTGTGGCAGGATAAAAATCAAATTATTACCCCGTCTTCCTCCCCCTTTCGCAGCCTTCTGTAGGCCTCCAGTAGAGCAAAAAGACTGCTGAACTCCAATGACAGAAAATCAAAACTAAAGTTGCACCATAGTTGTTTAAGATTTGCAGAGCTTTTGTGGGCATAAACAGAGTTGGTGAAATCCTTCTGTGTTAGTATAAATAATGTATTAAGTTAGATATGATTACAGAATTATTATAGTCACCAACAATAGCCAGGTTGGTTTATTAGGTTTGCTGGAGCTCAATTTTATTTGATGGCCAGTCTTCCATACTCAGTGTAATGGATCTTAGCCTGCTTTATTCTCAACACTCACGTGTGTTATCGGATAGCAGTAGCCATCCCTCCGTTGCCATAGCACAGAAAACAAAAACCCTTCAAGCTGCCTGCTTCTACAGGATATTTATCTAATATTGATTAGAAATGCAGGAAATGCCAGTGTGCTAGCATCTTTTTATTGAGCCTTCTGAAATACCTAGCAGCGCTAAAGCACTTTTCATTACCTCTTTGTCATGTTTTAAGAAACGTTATTCTTGACAAGGCTCTTTCAGCACCATGGTCAGCACAAAGAAAGGAATAAGCTACTGCAACCCTAGGTGAACCCAAGTGCAGGCATGATTAAGACAGACGGACAGCATTGCCTTCCTTCGTCTTTGGCAAAGTTTGGAAAAGAAATGAAGAGATGGGCCGAAAGAAGTCTGAGGCAGAAGTAAACCTGATCCCATTGACAGTCAACACACGCAACACTTTTCTGTATAGGCAAGAAATGTGAATCGGAAGAGAACCTGGAAGGAGATTGAATGTTAGATGGAATAGTTGAAGAAGGGCCTACACCATGTTCAGAAAAATACACTCCATATTTCATCCCAACTCCAGCAGGAGTAGTTTATCTGATGGGATCCCAGCTGATGATGGCTCTGCGGTCCGTTTGATCCGTAGCACCTCTATGTATGCTCTCAGAGACGAGGAGCATACAGTCATCGAACCTTTGAAAAAAAGCAGAAGTACCAGCAGCCTTAATTCAGTCGCCTGCCTTCAGCTGAAAGAAGAAAAGGCATGGATGTACTCAAAGACACAAGACTGTTTGCAGTATTTACAAGATTTATTAGCTCTGAGGAAAAAATACCTTGAGGGTATCAAGGATTTGAAAGCCTTGGGCAGAGTGCCTGGAATTTCCCCATTCCCTACAAAATCTTCAGCAACAAGAAAAAAAACTCAAGCCCCACCTGCTCCCAAACAGACTTCTAAGGTAGGATGTTACTCCTGTGTTTAAGGAACCACTCTCTTTGGAGAAGTGAAGTAATAATGCAATAAAATTGCACAGAGCATGTGAGAAGATGAACTCTGAGTTTGGGAATGTGATGAGTTTATGCTTTGTTTGTAATGACTTTTAGTTCCAGACCCCATTCAGCCTCTCACACCCAGCCGTGCCGCCTATTCACATACAGTATTCAGAGCAAAACCATTTATTTTTCAGGCTCTGTCTATTCTCACCAGTCATAAACAAGCTTAAAAGCTCACAACTCTTGGGATAGCATTGCTTCTTATCTCCTAGGCATGACCTCTCACCAGGAAAACAAAGTGATTAAAACACACACACAAACACACATAAACCCAAACCATGAGCTATTTGAAAATGAAGACCTCCTAGGGGCTAAATCCATGATTGGAGGGTACTAATTTCAAGAAAGTGAAGCTCACATTATGCATCTTTGGGAAGGAACAACTGCCCACCGTATCATGTGGAAGTTTTTGTTTCCTTTTGACAAATGTTTATGTCATTCTCTTTTAACAAACAGAGTGCTGACGCTTTTTCTGCAAACATTTGTCTTCTACGCATTAAGCCACACATCTTTTTATGGCCACGATAACTGGTCTAGGAAATTATCCAGATTCCACTTCAGAAAAATAGGTGTATTGTTTACTATGCTGAATAGCCCACCGTTTTTGTTATGCTAATATCAATGTCAATTTGAAGTGCTAGCAAAAAAGGGGGATGTATCACCCTGAAGATGTTGCTGGTCACTGAGCAACTCTCTCCACATCTGTACTACACTTTACCAGCATCCATTCCCTGAAATGCAGATGCTAAGAATGTTAGTTTTTGGCAGAAAGAGAGATACCTAGATATCAAATTGCCTTGAGAAATAATTCATTAAAAGAGCCCAAATGGCTCAAGTGAGAGAGCTAATGAACAGACTTTCTGAGATACAGTATAAAGTAAGAGTTAGGAATAGGCAACCTGATTTTTTCCAGATGTTTGAAGAACAGCATCTCTTGCTTTGCTAACTGTGGCTCATGGAGTAAAATTCCAAAATATACGAAGGGCACTGATTGCCTACTTCAGCATAAGGAAAGCCAAAATTCAACATTATTTTGATCAAATTTGGCTTCCTGGAGCCTATGAACTCATTTATTTCTTCCAAACATTTTAAATTGCTTTTCTCTTTTGCTTGTTTTTTCCTGCTTGTTATAAGTTTATATTCACACACACACACACACACATACACATACATACACATATACATACATACCTGGAATTTTTTTTTGCATATCTACCTGTACATGCACACACCCAGAGACACACAACACTAAAAGTAGTCCACCTACATTATAAAAATAGCAACATAAAAGCTAAATGGAGCCCAAAATAAATCAGCAAAAAAGATTATTAGAATCTTATTGGTTTGCTTTCTGAAAAGATCTACATTTTGTATCCTTGAATGTTGGAGGGGTGTTGCAATTATAATGTTTGTTTATTCTAATTAAACCATTGTCACAACATCCTATTCAACAGATCTCAGCGGACAGAAAATTCTCTCAACTCAGTTCAGATGTGACTGAAGCAATCATTTATTTTGACTCAATTATTGCAGAGCTGGATGCAGAAAGACACCAAAAAATTGTTGTGAGGGATCATCCACACGTTGATGTAGATTTTGATAGTAAGTACATATATATCTCAAGAGTATTAATAAAATTTGAATAAGTGCAGAATAGTGTGCCATCAGATTTGAATTTTAGGCTGAAAGGCAAGAATGTTGATGGGCAAAAAGCTCCCTTTTGCAAATGCCTTCTATATTTCTTTAAAAACAATTGTGTGGATGTTTTTAATACTCATTTACTTGAACAAATTTATATGCCACACAGATCTCAAGACTCTGGATGGTTTAAATAATAAAAATGAAAATATAATAGATCAACTAGCCCTAAACCCTAAAAGACAACCCCAATAACAACAGCAGAATGGTCACGCTAACATTTCATAGAAATGGAACAGAAATCAAACCACAGCTAAAGGTCAAGTTCCAAATGCCCATTTAAACAAAGTCAGTGAGGAGAGTGCCAGGAGGACGTCTGGAGACAAGTGTGGGGCCCATTGCTAAGAAGAATTGCCTTTGGGTCAAGGAGTCAAGAATCCCCTTGACTCCTCATATGGATGAGACTCTCAGCATCCTCTCCTTGAATGTGCACGTGGACTGGGCAGGTGCCACCTGGGGGAGATGGGGCCTAAAATATCCTGGCACCAAGCCTTATAGGCTTGGTAGGTCCAAACCAGAACTTTGAATTAGACTTGGAAACCTACCGGCAATGGTGTAGCCACCAGAGAATCAGTGTTAAATGACCGCCGTAGCTCTCACCCACTGATACCTTTCCTGCTGCATTTTGTCCTAGCTACAGTTTGGGGGTTGTCTTCAGAGGCAGCCTCATGTAAAGCATGTTTCAGTAGCTTAAAAGTTAGTGATGAGAATGTTACCAGGGCTACTCAGACCAGAAAAGTGGTACAAACACAGCACATAGTTATGAGAGCAAATAATAGATACATCAAAGTTTTCCCAAAAGACAGTTTTCTATTTCTGGTGGGAACTGGACAGAGATCCATCTCTGCTGTTCATCCAAACAAAAACGTTCAGGAATTGTTTTTCCACCCTTTTGCTTGGGAGATTGGTGGGTGATGTACTAATTGACCTAATAAGCAATTCGTATGACATGTCTGTTACCTGCTGATTGTGCAGTATTTGGCTAGCTATTTGTGAATACTTCATCTTTTCCTCTCCCTCTTCCCCACAACCCTGTACCAGATTCTTGGTTCTCTGATGCATGAGGAATTTTAGGATAACTTTTTGTATCCCATTAGATTTATACAGGAGAAGAATTAAATGGGTGGTCTCCCATCCCAGCATTTTAATGATGAGAAAAGACAGACTATTCCATCTGGGGTAATCCATAAAAAAACTAGCATATGGTCTACCCAAGGTGTGCGCCTGCCAATGCGTGATCCTTTGGTTCTTTCAGTCCACAGGGCTTCAGATTCATTTATCTGTAGCTTCTGCCTCATCATCCCTCATAAGCCCACCTTCCCCACCTTATTTTCCCCTATTCCATAGCTATGAAACTCATCAAAAACAGTATTGGTCCTGCATACTGTAAGTTTGTTACATACCAATTTAAACAATTATTCAAAATATTTGATAGCAAACATTATTAGTATCAAGAATTATGTGAATTCAGCTAGACATTAATAGTTAAAATAGTGTTATATCAGGTAACTAGATGATATAAACATACCAGAAAATAGTTTAATAAAGCATCTACAGGACTATGGGTTTGAGAGCTGCAATGGCTTAAAAGAGGAATGGGTATTTTTTTGCCTCACTGAGGATTGACACACTCATTTCTACTCTTACTTTGACACCTTTACAAAAAAACCATTTGGTGTTATTTCAGGGGCCCAATCTAGGAGTGTTTTGGGGGACAGAGAGAGGGCACAGTGAGGAAGTTGGATCCTGTGATCTAAGTTTAGCCTATCCCTGGTCGAGAAAAATGGAAAGCAGCTTTCTGTTGAGTCAGACCATTGATCCTTCTAGCCTTGTTTCATTAGCAGCAGATTTCTTAAGCCTCCAGCCCTACCAGGAACTACCGGAGAGTGAACTTGGGGCCTTTTGTGTGCAAAGTCTAAGCTGTATCTATATATTCTGGACCCTCATCCTTGTTGTGAAGATGTATTTATTCTAAATTTGGTTCCATGTTTCAGTTGTTTCTAGTAGTTCAAGAGAACACAGCTTACACTCCAACTGGATCCTTCGTGCCCCTCGGAGATATTCCCAAGATACCAGCCAAGCAGCAGCAACTGCAGGCCAATCCAAAGAAAAAGGCCAACGAAGATCAATCAGCTCCAGAAAGAAACTGCAAAGATATCCAATGTATCTACCGAAAGCTGTAGAGGGAGCATTTAATACAATGAAATTTAAACCCAAGATGTGCCTCAGAGAAAAGCCCTGATCTGGAAAAAATTGGAAGCCCCTTGTGTGAAATCGTTACCCTCCACAGGCACACTGAGAGTCTTTCTTCGGAATCAGGTGGCTAGGGTTTCTTAATGCAGTACGTTAGCAGTAGCAATTATTTGATGTACACAGCTGACAGGACTTGACTTTATATTCTGCCTACACTAGGGCCCATAGAGTAGTTGTGTTGACACCAGACACTTAATCAAGTCAGATAAAAGCCTTATAAATGCATTTAATCAAGTTGCTAAGCTTAGCTAATGTAAACCTGATGGTGTAGCATGTTGTTCAGCCTGTTTGATTGGTTTCTAATTAAATGTATTGTATGAACCCAGAAAATATGTTCATTCAATAATGAGGTTAACTGCATTATAAGAATGCAACATTGTGTATCCTGAGAATTATCTCACTCAGCTCTTCTTCTTTTCCCATAGCATATCCTCTGTTTATTATCCATGCCATATAGAACATGGTAGCATGAATGTCATGATCATCTGCGGACATTTTCTGTTATTCTGTGAAAGATTAGATTATAAAACAGCTCTATGTCATGCAACAATTGTAATGTAGGAATATACATCCAGAATGTATGTTTCCAATGAAAAAAATGTGATTCTTCTAAATAAAAAAAAGCCTGAACATTTTAACATAATTTTTTAAACAATTGTCATCATTTATAATCTGGATGCCACCTCTTCTCTCCTGGAGAATACATAAAATAAATGTATAGATAAAACATCCATACAACATTCATTATATGCGGAGGGCAGGTCCCAGAATCTAAAGAAGAACCATGATTCTTGTACCCAATGTCTGTACTTTAAAGTACTTATAGCCACTTCTTCATCTCCTCCAGAAGACAATGTATGGAGTGAAGAAAACACATTGAGCAGGGCTGTTGCCAAAGCTGTTGCGGTTCTGGAAAAGAAATTATTTAGTAGATTTCTAAGGCTACTCACTTGCCAAACGACTTTCTTATTGTACAGGGTTACACACAATAAAAACAAACATTGCATAAAAAGCTGACCAAGTTGAGGAGGAAAATCAGTCCTAAACACTGCACATATCAGATGATTAGTGAAATGATATCCCATCCTAGCCCACAGTCTGTGGGAAGAGGCAGGTCTTAAGTGTCTTCCTAAAAGCCAGCAGGGTTAGGGCTGTAGGGATATTGGGGTATTTCCTCCATCTTTGTTCTCAGTGCCTGCCCTCACTCCGACCCCTTAGTTATCTACTTCTTTTTTGCATTCTTTCTTCCCTCCCAGTATTAAGCAATGGCACTGACATTTTATTATGTCATTTTCCTTAAGTATTAAAAGAGCTTAGGTGTATTGCAGTCAAGGCTTCTACCAAATTAAAAAAAGAATGTGGCATTGGATTTGGGGGCCCCATGTTCTTGTGCTCTACAGGACCTTAATTTGCCCAGGGAATCCAGCCTTAGTGTCCCCACTACATTAAGATGTCAAAAACATTAAATAGGCCAGAATCTAATCAAAGGTCTCTAGATGTTCTTTTTTCTTGCATAGAAGACCCATGCCTATCTGCTGCTGTTTTTGAAATGGAGGTAGAGTTAAAAACTAGTTTATGATGTAACTACTAACTCCCAGTAGTTACAAGACACTAATCTAAGTGGATCATAGCTGTAGCCAAGTAGAATTGTGGTTTGTTTGTTTTAATTTTTAATTTGTAAAACTTGCACTGAGCTTAAATTTCATGCTTTTGGGGACAAGCACACTTTCAGTAATATGGGTATGAATTTTTCTTTCTTTGTTAGAGTTATATCCCACCTTTCATCCAGGAACTCAAAGCAATGTACATCCTTCATCCATCCTCCAACCTAAGTTTTCCTTGCTACAAGTTGAAGTGTTTATCCACCTAGCCTTGAATCTTCAGAAAACAAAATCAGCAAGACATTTGCTGTCCCCACTGCCCACCCTTGTCCTGCCTCTATTTCAAGTCACTGTCACATTGAGTTCCCTCCAAGTCAGCAAATGATGATTAACAGGTTTTTCATATACTCTTAGGTGGTGCTAGAACTGGTGGCTCTTAGATGTACTTGTGAAGGCACAGCTTTTAAAGAATGAATGCTCAAGGCAAAAAAGAGAACATGAAGTAATAGCCCCCATGAGGATTTCCATATGCTTTACGTCTATGACAGAAGGGTGGTGAAATAGCCCCCAAAGCAACAGAAGGATCTGTTCCATTCCAAATGGCTGATTCAATAACCAGAGATGTTATGGCGTGTGAATCTGGAAATAAAACTGTTTCGCTTTATCTTATAAGACTTTGGATTTGTTTCAATATGTGCATTAGAAAATGAATAAATGAATACATATTTATTGCAGTAGATCACATTTCTTTGGGAACATTCCATAATACGTCATAAATCTTTGCTTTTTATACCCAAGTTCAGGGAAATAATGTGCAGATAATTTCACACACAATCTTGAATAAATATTCCTCTTTGTGGTATGCTGATTGTAATCTGGGTGAGCACACTTAATCACAACCAGGGTGTTGTGGTTCTGCAATGCATAAACATATCCTTATGCATGCTGGCCTGAGGATAAATCTCATGCAAAGTCAGCGGCGTGAGTTTTGCTCCAAGGATACACAGGGGAAGAGGCACGAGAGCGATCCTAAACACACGCTTACTATTACAATCACAGAACTAACATATCAGGCTATGCCATACAGCACATGACTATCAGCATCTTCTTTCTGTTGCTAGTTTCGCTGTGACAGTTGGCTCTTGAGAAATACATATGGGTAATGAGAATTTGCCACGTTGAAAACATTCTCCAAGCAAGGGAGCAACACATCAGGAAAACTGCAGTTGCAGAGTGATACCCCCCCCCCACACACACATCCCATCACCACCACCATTAATATCTAGATCAGCACCATACCCCAGTGCTTCGCAAAAGCTATACCCAGATGTCCCATTTGCTCTAGGAGCAAAGGCCTTATACAGATTTCCCCAAAGACAATCGATAATTTGATCTCAAGGAAAAAAAAATGACCTGAGAGAAATTTAAAGTGCCATAGTTTTCACCTCCTTGAAAGAAAACAAACTAGAAGTAAACAGGTATAGCATACAAAACAAAGGATGGACAACTCTCAATTTTTAGGCCTATTACTTTTTCTCCTACAAATTCTGGATTCTGCAGATGAACCTTCATGAATCCCCCAATAATTGGCTTTATGCCATCACGTTTTGAGCTGCTGAGCAGTTTTGAAAATTTCCAAACCTATTGTGGGTGCTCTTACAAAATGTCTGGTGGGGGGACTTTTTCATCCACATAATCTCTCCAAAGGCAGACAGAATTGGTATTAGCACTAAGATATCAAAATGCTCCCTGTCATCTCTCTAGCCTGCTCCCCATTCCTGCAAGACGTTTCCTGGTATTTCTGCTTAACTTTTCCCTTTCTCTGAGCTGGTGGGGATCCTCCCGAAGCACCAGCCTGCAACCATCCAGCTGATGGGTTCCTTTTAGGGTCGAAGACAATATTGGAAATGAAGATTATACTGGAGACTGATGTTTTGCTTTGCACAGCGTAACAGTTTTGGGGGGTGGGGGGAGCCTGGCAGGTAGTAAAGAGGACTCTAGCTTCAGTACTCAAAGCCAGGGGGCAGTGAATGGATGAGAGGGTAGGAAATCTGATGGTAGCTATGGAGGCACTGTCTAGAATCTCCAAAAGTCACAATGATGTGGAAAAGGGGCGGTAAATAAAATTGTTCTTTCTGCTTGCCATTTGCTGAAAGTTAGGAAATGACCATGGAAGATGATTGACAGAGGGGAAAAAAGAGGATTGGCAGGTCAGATCACCGGAGGCCAGAAGTGTGGCTGTGCTGTGTCCCCACCCCACTGAAATACCAGTCCAGTTGGCCTCAGTATGAAGAACTGAATTGTTCTTTGCTGCAGCAGACTGCCTGGGAGTCTGAGAGGAAGACTGCGAAGGTGAATGAGCAGAGCGGGGAGCATAACTTGACTCTGAAGAAGGTTGAAAGGTGTGTGTTGTTTTTAAAACAGTAGACACCACCTTTCAGCTGTTAGGATGTCTTGCACAATTCCACCATTACTAGGAAATGCTCTGTGATTTCTGTGCTGAATTATTGTAACAAGAACAACAAAACTAAACAAGTAAACAACAGCAAGATTTGATTTCAAAATATGCTTTGACACTCCAGGGAGATCAATTATTTCAGTTTCCCCAACCCTGGACATGCCGATACTTTACTGAAATTTAGTGGGCAGAAGTCACCTCAGCCTTCCCTATGGACCTGCCTATCTACGTTCCCTGTACACCGGGTATTTAAATTCCGGGTCCCCAAGCTTTTACTCGGAGCAAGTCAGCTGCACCAAGAGGAACTGCCGTGCCTAGTTTGACATAAGTGTGCCATGGTAAGTCTTCTTTCTAAGTAAGAAACTTTGGGTAATGGCACATGGCTGCAGGGGTGGCAGGATAAGAGTTTTATAAAATTAAGCAACTGGGGAGAAAATGGCTGGAAAGAAGCTCTTTTTTGCATAATATTAGTACTCAGCACAAAATAATACAGCTTTGTGGAAAATATGCATATGCAATGCTATATTTACAGAGGAAATTCATGAGAATTTCTCCCCCCCCCCCCCGCTTTTCTCTCTAGTATGGATTTATCAACTCCTGCCTGAAGTCCCTCCTGGTAGAGAAATTTGGTGAAGAAACATGGGAAAAACTCAAGTAAATATCTATACCGCTACAGCATTATCATTCGTAAAGCAAGAACATGGAACTGGGGAGTTTCTTGTGACATTATTAGGCTTTATTATTCCTCAGAAGACAAGGGCCTAATGTCCTTCTTCTCTGCCTATTCTTTGTAGTATGCCTGTATTCTGGAGGGTGGGGTGGGTGCTGCAGATAAAGAGGGGGGTATAACCCATGAACATTTTTGCCACAACCCACTTATTATTTTTGAAGTTGCTACAAGACTCTTTGATGCTTCTGTATAAACTAACTTCGCCATCAACCCTATAGATTCAAAAACCTAACAGGGTATAACAATTATTTTGGCTAAGGGACTTAACTTTAAAAAAGGATGGTTTTCAGACATCTCTGCCCAGGAAGTTGAGTAAACTATTTTGAGTCAGTTGAATCTTGCACTTGAAATGTTTGTAAAATATTTTGCTTTACCAGAAAAGGGCAAACCAGATGGCATATTGGGCTCCATATTCATTTTATATTAGATGCTCTCTCTGGTATTTTTACAGAACCCAGGCTGGAGTCGAAGACACCTTTATGACATATACAGTGTATGATGATGCTCTTACTGTGAAGTTGGTCCAAGAAGCCTGCAAAATGCTAAGTACTGAGATAATTACTGGTTTTAGTTTGCTGTCTGTCAAGAGAGAGTATCATTCCCACTTATGGATGTTATAGGGTAGAATTCTGAAACCATCATCATTTTATGGTTTTATAATGTTAAACAGTACCATAGTCAGTGATCCCAAATAAATTTAAACTTATCTATTCTTGCACATCTCCCTAGAGCTCTCTCTTAATATTGTAATAACTATTGAATTAGAATTTAAATATTTTAATACTACTGTGTTTTAGCACATTTGTAGTCATTTCTCTAACAGCTCTAGCAACCTAACATATTAGTTTTGTGTCTTTTAGATTTCTTGTAATGTCTTATTTTATTTCTACAATATTTTAGTTCATTTTATTCTAATTACCTTATATATTTGCATATAGTTCTGGTCATGACTGTAATAGATTTACTTCCTTTCTTACAGAGTTTAGTAATTACTTTCATTTTTTAAAAATCTTTTTTCATTTTGTATTTTAACTACATTTTAAAATATTTTCTCTTCTGCTTAATTTATTCATTCTGAGTTTTTTTCCTCCAGTATATTTCTTTTCCATCATGGCATAGTTTTAGATCTCAAGACTCATGCAGTCCAATCCTTTGTTTCCAGATAATTAGGCAACTGAGTTCAATATTATTAAGCAAATTAGTTTAAATGGGCTTAAAAGAGCTGCAGTCTGCACTGTTCCCATATTACACTAAGCCATAATGTGTTTTCTTCTTTTTCATATTAGTGACATATAGGAAAAGGGTTAGTGGATAAACCATGATTTGTTTTCAAGTACTATAATTTGAAACTATGGGTTTTCTTGGTTTACTGATTGCAGCAGTAGTTTGTTATGTTGATTAACATATGATTTGTTCCTGGATTATTCTTTTCATTATGTGCCCAGCTGGCCAGCTCAGCTGTCTTAATAGATCTGCCTGCCAGGCTATGTGAAGTTTCAATGCAACTATTAAATTCAAAGGTGATTTGATCAAATTGACTCTCTGAAATCATTCAAAGGGTCAGTGGACTTTTGCACATGTGGGCACATATATTTTGCTGAACAGATTGACTCTTTAAATTATGTAACTTCTCTCTTTCAATCAGTTAACAGTTGCTGGAGATTTTACCTTAGTTTTGGATCCATGATCAGACTGAAATAAGAGTTCAAAAAAGAAAATAAGTCCCCAATCAACTCTTAAGACTCCTTGAATCAAATTGCAAATGTGAATCACTTCTTAGGCTGGTCATGTACCTGTATTACACATTATTTTCCTGGATGGAGGAATGTATTGAAGTCTTGTAGTAGCGGGAGCATCAAGGAGGGTACCATTGAAAGAGAAAGAGCAGGCAAAGCATATTCATGAGAGAAGGTAAACCACACACCTTCTGCTGCGCCCAGGTATACGTGACATTATTCCTGAATCTGTTTTTCCCCCCTTTTGTTTTGTTTTGTTTTCCATGCAGAAGTACCAGAAGAGGCAGTGCTGAAGCTTTTTGGGGAATACTTTTTTAATTTCTGCAAAACATCAGGATATGATAAAATGCTACGGACACTAGGAGGAAATTTGATGGAGTTTATTGAGAATCTTGACTCTTTACATAGCTACCTTGCTTTGTCCTACCAGGTACATTTTCTGCTGGGCAGACACTACTGAAACAGCATAATGTGTGTGTGTGTGTGTGTGTGTGTGTGTGAGCGAGCGAGCGAGTGATCCTCTTTCTTATTGCAATAAACTTACTCTGAATCTATGAGAAGCTTGCTTTCTTAAGCAGTTACTTGTAGGAGACGTAACGTAATAGATGCTTAGACTAAAGATCTTACGTTTAGACGCAAACGCTTAGGATTCCCAGGGGACCATGTTTTCCAGGAATTTGGGGAGTTCTAGTCAGACTGCATAGGAGGAAGGCTGGGCTACTGCTTTCCATTATAACTGTAATGTATGGAACTGCCTTGCATTTATACTGAAATGAAAGAATTCTAATGAAAGGATAGAAGGGTCAGTCACATGAAAAGTGGTTTTTCTGCAATTGAGTTATTTTTAAATAGGAATTAATTATCTTTTAATTCATGTCATGGCCTGTGACAAGGAATTTTTAGAGACACTAATATGCTTCATCCGTGGGCATATTTAGGAAAAACGATGAGAGGATGAACTGAAGGAGAGAGCTTGGTTGCGTGCAACTCATTGTGAAAGGAAAATTGGAATAGAATTGCATATAAAATGAAGCAAATCCAGTGTGTTATGAATCAGGGTTTGATTCCATTACAGAAACATGTGCCATTCTCCAACTGTTCCCTGATTCTATGAACAAATCTCAGAATACAAATTGGCAAGCTCTTATGAACTAACCCAAAATCATCCCCATTTGTAATTCTGCAATTTACATTCCTCCCTTACCCATTCCTCTAAGTTGGCCTTTTGATTGTATATTTAATGGAAGGAAAGTTGTGCATCAAGGATAAAAAATGCATTTTAATGCTGGTAGGTATTAGAACAGACTCTAGGAATTTGGGGAAGAAAATGAAAGAGGTTTTTGTCTTGCCTAGGAAATGAATGCACCATCATTTCGAGTGGAAAGGAGAGATGGGGCAATGCTCCTCCACTATTATTCAGACAGGAAAGGATTGTGTCACATTGTTCCAGGTACCAGGACCCCAGAGTTTCACACTGGGATGTATGTTATACAACTACACTCCGACAGAATGGGAACTTTTCCATAAGTATTTTTGGCATTGGCGTTGACTGCTTGAGCTCGGGGCGGGGAATAGGAGCTATAACCCTGTGCTTCAGGACAGGAAGAGGTGGATGGGATTTTTTTACTCAGGTCAACAAGCTCTGTGACCTTGATGCAGATGTTCCACCCCTCCCCTCTATTCCAAGTCCCATGCCCTTGTCCCCTGCCCGTTTATAAAAGACCCCCTGACTATTTGTGCCACCAACTTTTAACACATTTTAGAATATGATGCATCTGTCTTTTTCTGGAGCGTACAGTTGAAATGAAGTAACAAGTATCTGCCCAACTGTTGTTTAAAGCAGAGAAAAGGACATTTTAAAAAGCTTGGGGTGACCTTGATTTGCATAGAAGAAAGCTGCTGAGGAACTTAAGGAGGGGGAGACCTTGGAATCAGGTACTGTAGGAACCTTTTTCAAGAGCTGGTGTCCCCAAGATCTGTTGGGCAAAGGTCAGATCAGATTGGGATGGAAGTTGTAATCTAACACATCTGGATGACACCAGGTTGGGAGAAAGATCAACAATGCTTTGGGCCAGGAATCCCCAAACCTTTGGACCAGTGGACATATTTGGAAGAAGTAGGCAGAGTTTCTGCCAGCTCCGGCTTCTCCCTTCCCTTCCCTTCCCTTCCCTTCCCTTCCCTTCCCTTCCCTTCCCTTCCCT